AGTCACAGCTGTACACCGCAGAGCCAGAACAAAACACAAAACAATGGGTGTATCTCTCTCCCCCCGTACCCGGCGAGGAATCCTTGACAGTCACATATTGCAGGATTTTGTGAAATAGTTTTCAAAAAAATTCTAAGGACATTAAAGAATTTACCTTACGGTGTAATGGCACATGGGTTGGTTATCAGATGAAAGGAAAGGCTCCTGGAAGTAGCAGAGTCCATTTATTTTTTACTCGAACAGGTGTGTTTCCCGCTGCAACTCTCCTCCATTTCTGTTATTCGTTAATATTTCAATTTTACAGCCATAAATATTTCCAGGTATTAGAATGTCTAGATTTTCTGTTTCATTACATTTAGGCTCGCTATTTCATCTGCGCATGTTTTGTTTTATCAGAATATTGTACAGGCTCACTTGCTCACAGAAGTTTCGTTTACAATGTAACAAATAATCTGGTAATTTCAAAGTCCTTGTCAACTAGGTGACTTGGTAAAGTAGTTATCAGTTGTATTTTTAAAGTATTAAATAACTAATTTCACTAACGTCCTTTATTCAGACAATCTGTTCGCATTAGTTCGCAATATTGAAATAGTTTTGACAAGTGTCACAAGCAGAGAAACGCAATATTTACAATTATTGTACTGCAGCGAGCAGCCAATGTTTACAAGCGGGAAGACAGAGTTATGGTCCTTAAGACAAGTGTTCATACTGACGAAAACACTCTTCATACAAGAAGGATATATATGACATGTCAACAGTAGAGAGCCGTTAAAGCCGAAGAGACATTTCACAATAAAAACATTTTTACTTGATATATTAATATCACATATCACTGTAACAGAGCACTGGCACTTCACTATTTCGCTACAATGCACAGATGTTACGTTTGTTTACTTAAACTTTGAATTTTTACGGAAATAAAACAGCAACACCCACACCGTGTATAACTTATTTCTGCACAAGCGCACTGCTGTTATTTTTGCTCCTGCTTTTGTTTCTCTCGCTGCAGATATTTGCTACTTCTATTACGTCTCTCTTTGCAACTAACTATTATTTTTTTTATTATTATTCTGCTGTTTGTACTATCTCTACTATAGGAGTTAGGATTGTACGCACTGCCTCATTTACACTCAATTGCAGGGTCTCAATTGTCTCTTACTATTGACAACACAACAAATATAACCGTACTCATTCTTGATATGTTTTCTTCATTCTATTTTATACTCCTATGTCAGTTGATATTAATATTGAAGCGGGGCCTTCTCGGATGGGTCCCACTGGTCGGGAAGGTTGTGGACCCCAGGGCCGGCCTGACCATCATCAAGTTACTGGGGCCTCAACTGACGCCACCGCGGATGCTGGAGGATCGGCTTTTTTCACACTTCATTTTTTCAACATTCACGGCCTGAGATCCAATTTTCCTTCTGTGGAGCACCATCTATTAACCTCTTCCCCCGACCTCTTAGTACTCTCCGAACTTCAACTGTCCAAAGCAGCTTCACCCAAACCTTTTCAAGTCTCCAACTACAACCTTTATACCTCCTTCCGTTCTAAGGGAGGTGTATGCGCTTACTGCAACACGTACACCCATAGCTCGACTCACGGATCTTGAATCTTCCCTTTATGATGTCATTTGGCTCAAAATATCTCTACCAACTGTGATTATTTTTTCTTTGTTTCCTATACTGTTCTTCCAAGTCTACCATCTATTTCGAACTCTTTGACTATCTCACTTCTTGCCACGAGTTGTTGCTATCCACACACCCCAACACCGAGATCCTCTACCTAGGGGATTTCAATGTACATCAAATTGAGTGGTTTGGCTCTGCAAGGGGTGACCCAGGTGGAGCTGAAGCACTCTCTGTTTCCCTACTTAAAGATTTGGAACAAATAATCAAACACCCTACACGCGTTCCTGATCGAGACGATCAACTTGCTAACATTCTTGATCTTTGTTTTGCCTCTAAACCCTCACGCTATTCATACTCAATTTCTGCCCCCTTAGGGTCTTCTCATCACAATCTTATTTCTATTAAATCAAACTGGGCACGACCACCTCCCCCCACCCCCTCTAAACGTCAACTATGGCACTATCGGAGGGCAAGCTGGCAATCTTTGCGAGAATTCTTCACTGACTTTCCTTGGGATGAGTGTTGCTTTTCCACTCGGGAAGCCTCGGTATGCGCTGACAGAATTGCTGGGGTTATACAGGGTGGTATGAGTGCATTTATCCCATCTTCTACCAAAACTTTCACATTACAATCATGGTTTCATCGCTCCTGCTCTCTTGCATGCAGGGTGAGAGATAGGGCATATCAAACTATCTCCTCCTCCTATTACCCACTCCTCTTTCATTACTTCTAGGAATCTTTGTAAGGCTATTCTTCGTAGGGCTAAACGGAATTTCATAAAAAGAAAGACCGCTGTCCTGACTAATCCTTCCTCTAGTAAATCCTTCTGGTCCTTAACCAAAAACATCTGTAACAACTTCTGCACTCCTTCTTTTCCTCCTCTCTTCCGACCTGATAACTCTATAGCCAACTCTCCTCCTGACAAAGCCAATCTTTTTAGCACCTTATTCTCCTCTAATTCCACCTTAGACAATTCCCACTCTATCCCTCCTACCCCTGCTCCTCCTACTGAATCTAAGCACTTTCCTATAATCTCCACTCGCAAGGTTGCTGGTGTGTTATCCAGGTTGGGTGTGAGTAAGGCGCATGAACCGTACGGAATACCCCCCTCGTGTTCTGAGGGAGTGTGCTGAAGCTCTGGCCCCTGTGCTTGCTCGCCTCTTTCGCCTCTGCCTCAAAACCCAAACTTTTCCTTCTTCTTGGAAGCATGCCTTAGTTCAGCCCATCCCGAAGAAGGGTGACCATTCTAATCCCTCTAACAATCGCCCCATTACCCTAACTTCATCCCTCTCTAAGATTTTCGAAACTATCTTGAACTCCCATTTTCTCCGTCACTTTGAACGCCATTCTCTTTTTTCGGATCACCAGTATGGCTTTCGCCAGGCGAGATCTACTGGTGATCTTCTCTCCTATTGCACCCCTCTTTGGTCATCCTCTCTTCGGGATTATGGGGAAACTTTCGTCGTGGCCCTCGACATCTCCAAGGCATTTGACAGGGTATGACACAAGTCTTTGCTTTCTAAACTTCCCTCTTTTGGTTTCTCTCCCCCCACTTTGTTTTCTAATCTCTAGCTTCCTTGAGAACCGATCCATGGCAGTTGTTGTCGAGGGATCAATCTCTCGCTCTTTCTCTACCAATAGTGGTGTCCCAAAGGGTTCTGTTCTTTCACCTACTCTCTTCCTTCTTTTTATCAATGATTTACTTCACACTACAACTAATTCTATTCATTCTTACGTTGATGATTCTACTCTTCACTCTTCTTCACATTTTACCCTTCCTCCTAAATCTCAAACTAGATCTGTTTCTAGAACTGATATCATTACTTCTATCAATGCGGATCTGTGCAGCATCTCTGAATGGGGAGGTACAAACTTGGTTAAATTCAATAGTAATAAAACTCAGTATTTAACAATTACACTTTCTAAATTAGATGATCTCCCACCAATTACATTTCAGGACGCTATCATTCTGCCAAATTGTGAAATAAATATGCTAAGCCTCACCATTTCCTCCAATATGTCCTGGAAATCACACATCCTTAATATAGCTAAAGCTGCCTCCCGAAAGTTGGGAATGCTGTACAGATGCCGTAGCTACTGCACTCCTGAGCAGTTGCTACAAGTATAAAGGGATTCATTCGTCCAAACTTGGAGTACTGCTCTCATCTCTGGGGTGGTTCTTCTTCTGTCCAACTGTTAGATAGAGTGGAATCAAAGGCATTTCGTCTTATTAACTCTCCTCCTTTAGTCGACAATCTCTCTTCCCTTTCTCTTCGCCGCAATGTTGCTTCACTCTCTCTCTTTTACAGGTACTTTAACGGGCAATGTTCGGTGGATTTGTCATCCTGTGTACTACCGGCAAGGCCGTGGGCTCGTAACACACGTCTTGCCCGCGGTGCCCACCGTTTCTCTGTGGATGTCGGTCACACGAGAATAACCCGTTATAGTACCTCCTTCTTTCCTCACACAGCCAAACTGTGGAATGCTCTGATTTCTTCTGTGTTTCCATTCTTATACAATGTCTCACTTTAAAAAGATGGTTTTCCGGCATCTTCGTGGTGTAGATTAACACAATAATATAATTTTTCTTCCCTATTTTCAATTTCTTTCTGTTCTTATTTTTTCACCCTCTAGGCCCCGTTGTGGGTCGTTTGACCTGTGCACGGGTGGGATAATTCCCGTAAAAAAAAAAATCATAGACGGTGGCCACCACACAGGTTAATAACTGACAAGGGGTGACTGGACACAGTATCACCCACACGACAGTAAATACATATCATTCCTCTCACCCGTTGTCAATTACGTTCCGCTTGACCTATTAAACTCGCCCTAATTTACCTCCCTCCATCTCTGACCTCTAACCTCAACTTAGTTTACGCTCGCTTTCTTTCCTAACTCACCTCCCTCCTCCCCAGTCATCGGTTTTCCCTCCTTCGTGACGCTATGATTGTGTTTTCCCTTCCATGTTGTTCAGAGTCACACAATTAACCCTCAGCGACCACGTTATGAATATATTTATGAATTTTAGCAACCTGCGATAGGATGGTTTGTAAACAAGGTGTACTTGAGTCTCGTCTGACGACTTAAACTAATGTATTTCTGATGTTTTATAAGTTTATTTTGATCGCCTGAAGATTAGCCTTCCTCAGCTTATTGTTTTACCTCATCATTAAACACACACAGTCACATTTTACCTGATGAATAAACACGTTAACGTTAGCTCAACCTAACCTAACCCATCCAGAAAGTGTTACAGTGTTAAATCATCAGGTGTAATAAACTTGGGGTGGGGCTAATCTTCAGGTGATCCCTTTACGGCCCTGTTGTGATAGGAACCTCACGTACTGAACCAACACTGAATTATTGCAGGTGGCGGTGCTGAAGGAGTGTGGCCGGGATATGGACCACTACTGTCACATCTGTGGTGGCACCGTCATCGCCTCCCAGTGGATCCTGACAGGTGCCCACTGTATCGACGGGTGAGTCCTCTTTCTACCTGCCTGCCTGTCTGCCTGTCTGTCTGTCTGCCTCATCCTCTTGACCAGAACAGGACAAGTCAAATTCATGTTCTCGTTGTTTATGTTATTGGGGGGAAACGGTACTGGTGACTTCTAAGAAATATTTTTATTTTGTCTCTCTGAGGGGTGAGAGATACCTCCCTCTATCTCTTTGGGGTTCTCTTGTCTCTCCAAATACCGGAGTAATTAATTATACGGTTAATAATATCCTGAGAGACAACAAACGGGTTTAATTGTATACTTAGACGTGATTGGGTAGATTAATTTAAAGTTGGTATATGATTAGCTAGCTCAGTTGTGTCCTGTTCTCCGACTGGTCGGCTCCGTTACTTCCCATTTTGTAACTGATTGGATTAATTGCACGCTGTTATGTGATTGAGTACGTGCTAAAAGCTGATTGGTTGGGTCTGTTGTCGTGTGCTTTGTGATTGGCTGGGTAATGTTATTGTGTGTTTTGTGATTGGGTGAGTCTGTTGTCGTGTGTTTTGTGATTGGTTGAGTCTATTATCGTGTGTTTTGTGATTTGCTGTCCGTTGTCGTCTGATTTGTGATTGGCTGGGTAATGTTATTGTGTGTTTTGTGATTGGGCGAGTCTGTTGTCGTGTGTTTTGTGATTTGCTGAGTCTGTTGTCGTGTGCTTTGGGATTGGCTGAGTAATGTTATCATGTGTTTTGTGATTGGCTGAGTCTGTTGTCATGTGCTTTGTGATTGGCTGAGTAATGTTATCTTGTGTTTTGTGATTTGCTGAGTCTGTTGTCGTGTGCTTTGGGATTGGCTGAGTAATGTTATCGTGTGTTTTGTGATTGGCTGCGTCTGTTGTCATGTGCTTTGTGATTGGCTGAGTAATGTTATCTTGTGTTTTGTGATTGGCTGAGTCTGTTGTCGCGTGCTTTGTGATTGGCTGGGCGATTTCTGTCCTGAGTTGTGATTAATTGAACAGTACTCTTACTTCGCCTCCTGATCTCCAGAGTGTACGTGGACACCCTGGCGTTACTGCTGGGGGACCACAACCTCTATATTCTGACGCCGTCGCAGAAGTTCTTCAGGATCGAGGAGGTGTTCATCCACCCTGACTTCAACTTTCCTATGCCTCTTAATAACGACATTGCCCTGGCTAAACTTCCCCAGGAGATAGCCTTCAACCGTGAGTCCTTAGAGAGAGAGAGAGAGAGAGAGAGAGAGAGAGAGAGAGAGAGAGATCAATTCCACTACTGGACTCATAAACGATTATGATTTGGAGGTACTTAAGCACCGATCTATATCTATCTAAATGAATAAATAAACACACACACGCACACACGCACACACACACACGCACGCACACACACACACACGCACACGCACACACGCACGCACACACACACGCACACGCACACGCACACACACACACACACACACACACACACACACACACACTTTTATTCAGTATTCTCTACCATATGTTCAGTGTTGTTGTGATAGAGCTTACCTCTGCCACCAGGATACATAGCACCCATCTGTCTACCACCGAGGAACTACGAACACCTCACCGACCGACTGCCTACCTTAGATGCTGAAGTGTTGCTCAGTGAAAGAAACTATGACCACGGGGAACACGGGGACCACGGGGGCCACGGGAACCACGGGGGCCACGGGGACCACGGGGACCACGGGGGCCACGGGGACCACGGGGGCCACGGGAACCACGGGAACCACGGGAACCACGAGGAGAGGGGATGTATGTACTCTACTCTCACCTTCTCAAGAATACAATTATAATTTTTGAACTCGTGAGTACGATAACTTGATCCGATCTCTTGAGGACGATGAATTGAAGAGGATAACTTTATTCCATGGATTACGACGACTTTATTCCTTGAGTTCATTAACTTTATGATCTCGACTACGATAGCAATAGCAATACCCCGAGTACCATATCAACCATTTGCTTAAACAAAAATAACCGTTTTATTACGATACCTTGACCCCTTTTAACCCTTGTGGACATAACATTTAATAAGATAAAACCTTCTTTGAATACAATAACAATCCCATCATGACATTGACTTTATTCAATATATACTTCTGAATTACTACCTTCCCTTGCAGTATCGTTCGTCACCCAGTACATCCACAACCTCTTCAACAACCGTACTGTGTCCGTCTACGGCTGGGGTGTGGTCAGTGACAGTAAGTGTCTGAAGAAACAAGGAAATTAATTATTATAATCTAATGGGAACAGTTTGCGGATTTATAGAATATGGCAATGGAAGAACAATTAATTTATGGTATATTGTAGCTCTACTTTCTAAAACTTGGAAACTTTTTACGGCATCGCCTTAAGGAATCTTTTCTTTGTAATATTTAAATAATGTTTATTATGAAACTTTTCCTTTACAAAAATCATAGATCCAAAGAACAATAATATACCAAATTAACACTAGATCACTGGAGGTGACTTTGAACATTTATTAAGAAAAAAACAGCTTCAGTAAAAAGGATGGTTAACTGGTAGGAGTCATGGTTAACTGGTAGGAAACAAAGAGTCAGCATAAATGGATTTAAGTCAGACTGGGGTGCGGTCAAAAGCGGAGTTCCCCAGGGATCTGTATTAGGCCCTCTGCTGTTTGTTATATTCATTAATGATCTTGATTTAGGTATAACTAGTAAGATTAGTAAATTTGCAGATGATACCAAAATGGGGAGAGTGATAAATTCAGACAGGGACTTTGAACACCTTCAAAGAGATCTAGATACCTTACATGAGTGGTCAGTAGACTGGCAAATGAATTTTAATACTGATAAATGCAAGGTACTACAGATAGGGAAGACGAATACAAACGTTAAGTATAAACTAGGTAACACGGAAATAGAAAACTCAGATTGTGAAAAAGATCTAGGTGTATTTGTTAGCAACGACTTGAAACCTAGAAAACAATGTATTAGCGTTCGCAACAAGGCAAACAGGATTCTTGGGTTCATATCTAGGAGTGTGAGTAACAGAACTGCTGACGTTATCTTGAAACTTTACCTAGCATTAGTGAGGCCACACATGGATTATGCGGTTCAATTCTGGTGTCCTTATTATAGAATGGACATAGATTCTTTGGAGAGAGTACAAAGAAGAATGACAAAAATGATCCATAATATTAGAAACCTTCCATATGAAGAAAGACTGAAAAGCTTAGGCTTGCATTCATTAGAGAGGCGTAGAGTTAGGGGAGATATGATAGAGGTGTTCAAGTGGGTAAGTGGGATTAACAAGGGTAAAATGGAAGATGTTCTGAAGCTCAGTATTAACGAAATAACTAGAACAAATGGCTTTAAATTAGATAAATTCCGATTCAGAAAGGATATAGGCAAGCACTGGTTTGGTAATAGAGTTGTGGATATGTGGAATAGGCTACCGAGTGCTATAGTAGGATCGGGGACACTAGGGAGCTTCAAGACGAAGTTGGATAGGCACATGGAAGTGCTGGGATGGGTGTGAAAGGGATCTGCCCTGTATGGGCCAGTCGGCCTCCTGCAGTATCCCACTCTCTTATGTTCTTATGTTCTAAAAGATTTTATAATAAATATTTAAAACCAGGAAGATGCAGTATTTTTCATCACCCGGGTATTTCTGCTCACCACCACCAGATGGACAGCCGGCCCAGAGACTTCGCGGGGTGGAGGTGACTGTCCTGCCCAACTCCGAGTGCCAATATTATTATGGCTCCTTTGTCAACGAGACCATGATGTGTACGTCAGGAAAAGGTGGTCACGGGCCCTGCAGGGTGAGGAGAAGAGAGAAATTATAATAATCTGTATTTTAGACATATAAAGGTGTCTCAGAAAAATTTACACATACTGCTTTACAGGTTCTCGTGGAGATCGCGTGTGAATGTTTCTATATTTCAACAACGACATTGTCCTCCTCTGTTAATGGGTGAGGTCTCCAGCAAGTGAGGACAATGTTGCTGTTATAACACAAGCCTTCCAGCAATCTCCATGATACCTGTAAGGCAGAGTGTGTGTACATTTTTCTGAAACAACTCTGTATGCGATGATAACATATATAGTACTGTACATAAACTATATTAATTGATAAACTTGATAGGTGTTTATTCTTTGTTAACACCTAAGTCGATATTTTTCCTCAATTCATTCATTATAGTCTTTCAGCATTCATTTTACATCATCCGTTTTTCTCAACAAATATTTTTTTTTCATCTTCACTTCAAATTATCCTTTTGGATTTGTATATTTTTCTCTAGTTTTGGATTTTTTACTTCATGTTATATATTCTAACTCTCAAATAGAGATCACTTACGATCTTAAAACACAACCACCCATAGTGTCAAACCACCATACCACGTGTTATAACCTGTAAATCACAAAAAACCAATAACAACGAACCACTAAACTACGTGTACATCACAACCACCAATCACAACACACCACAACCACTACTCAGCTTCTCGGTGCCCCTCAGGGAGACAGCGGGTCGCCTGCGCAGGTTAAGATGAAAGATGGACGATGGATGCAGATCGGGGTGTTGGTTTTCGGAGCGGCCTACGGGTGCGAGGTAGGCTTCCCGTCCTGTAATGCAATGCTTCCTCTCTACGTCTCCTGGATTGAGTTAGTTACCGGCATCTCCTTCGACCGGTACTACTAGAGGACGACCTGCAATTAGTGGTGTTGGAGGACGACCTTTAACCAGTACTATTGGAGGACGACCTTTAAGCAGAACTATTGGTGGACTACCTTTAACCAGTACTATTGGAAGATTACCTTTAACCAATAATATTGGAGGACGACCTTTAACTAATATTATTGAAGGACGACCTTTAACCAATACTATTGGAGGACGACCTTTAACTAATATTATTAGAGGACGACCTTTAACCAGTACTATTGGAGGGCGACCTTTAACCAGCACTATTGGTGGACTACCTTTAACCGTTACTATTGGAGGACGGCCTTTAACCAGTACTATTGGAGGACGACCTTTAACCAATACTATCGGAGGACGACCTTTAACCAGAACTATTGGTGGACTACCTTTAACCAGTACTATTGGAGGACGACCTTTAACCAATACTATTGGAGGACGACCTTTAACCAGCACTATTAGCGGACTACCTTTAACTAATATTATTTGAGGACGACCTTTAACCTGTACTATTGGAGGACGACCTTTAACCAGCACTATTGGAGGATTACCTTTAACTAATATTATTGGAGGACGACCTTTAACCACTGCTATTGGAGGACGAACTTTAACCAGTACTATTGGAGGGCGATCTTCAACCAGTACAACAACTAGAGAACGACCGTCATCCAGTATTTCTACTATCTAACGACCTTCAACCAGCTAGGATTGTTTGCGTACGACCTTCAACCAGTGCTATTGGAGAACGACCTTCAACCATCATTACTACTATTAACGCATGATCTTCTACCACTCCTAGAGGATTATCTACTCCCTACTACTTTTACCAATACCTGTCAACACCTCCCATCTACTACAAGGTGACTGGACGAGGAAGAGTAGAAGGCGTACTGATGCTACTGTGTTGTAACGACGACAAGATGGTGACAACAACATACTTTAAATACTAATACTAATACTAATACTAATACTAATACTAATAATAATTATAATAATACTAATACTAATAATAATAATAATAATAATAATTCTCCTATAACTTTATTTCTTAAATGTTGACAAAACTGAACCAAATTTCTTAAGCTAGGATGAACGACGTTTACATTGACAGAGCAGAACTAACTGTGATAATTACGTTTGTTGTTTTTTCTAAGGTAAAAATATAATAGGATGAATTTGTTGTGGTGTGTTGTGTGATTTTATGTTGCAGACCAATAAAAGGAAATGTTCCAAAGGTGATGTGATTTAATTGTTACCTTTATAGTGGTGATGCGGTGGGAATGGAGACGAAGGTTGTGTTTCTCTCTCTCTCTCTCTCTCTCTCTCTCTCTCTCTCTCTCTCTCTCTCTCTCTCTCTCTCTCTCTCTCTCATTCCCTTTTTGTCTATATTACAGTCTTTTTTCTCATTCCCTTTTTGTCTATATTATTTTCTCTCTCTCTTTTAACTAACACATACACATAAACACAAACACAAACAGACATAAACAAAGATACAGGGGTGAGGGACTCCATAGTTGTTGTTGTTGTTGTTGTAATCAATTTCATATTTTCATTGGGATCACTTTTTTCAGGTCGAGCGATTACCAATATGGCGGATTTGGGGAGAGGGATTTGTGGAAGGGGAGGGATTTATAGGGGGAGTGGGGGGAGAGGGGAGAGGATAGGCAGGTGCGTGGGAGGGGAGATGGGGGGAGAGGAAGAGATAAGGGGAAGGAAAAGGAACGAAAGAGGATGAAGGTAAAAGGGGAAAGAAGGAAGCAGAGAGGAAAGGGAAGGAAGAGGAAAGGGGAAGTGAGGAGAGGGTGACATGAGGAGGAAACAAAAAGGGAGAAGAACAAGAGCTAAAGGAGGAGGGGTTAATCACCTGTCTGAGGCCAAAAGGTTTGATGGTATTTTTTAAATGTATATTATATGAGTAGGTCAAAATACCATTTGTTACTTGATACTCCCTGGCTAAAAACCTGTGGCAAAGGGTTAAAAACTGTGCCGCGCTGTGGTGACTTTTTTTTTATACAAACAGGGAAATAACGTCGCCATAATTTAAATATGACCTTATTATTTGTGCAGTTGTGTTGGAATTTATAAAAAAATAAAATAATATATATATATATATATATAAAAAAACATAGAAACAAAGACATTTCATATTAAAACATAAACACCATAGAAGCAGTTATCACATATTAAAACAAAATTTTTGATATCGTGGGGCACAGGTAGAAAAAAAAATAATATCCCTGATATATATCATTTTAAATTCATACAGAATCACACTTAAGTACAAGATAAACTGTAGACAAACTGTGTATTTGTTTACAATCTTTGAATTATATGCCTATGACAAAATATGGTTATATCATGCCGTACCTGCACTCTAAGGGTATTAAAGTGCATCAAAACAAAGGTACACTCATGATTCTTATACGAATAATAATCAATCTCAATCTTCTTATGAAGCAATCATATAGTTCATATTTATCACACCTCATACCCCAGAGCTAAATAAACAACTAAAGCAATTCTATTGTAATTCAAATAGAATGTCGTCCACAACATTATATAGTTACAAAATGAATTGAGCATTTGTGAGTACACATCAGTCAGAGTCACAATTTGACTCACCTGATGATTCATATGTTAATTCATCTTCACTAACATCTGTAGATAACGTGGTTGTGTCATCCATTGCTGCACATATTTCCTGTGGAATCCGATCACCTTCAACCATTTTATTGTGCACCACCCATGTTTGAGTTCCCAGCCACTGTCTTCTGCTTGCCACTGTACTGAAGTTGTTGTGTCTGCCTTCTTCCATACTGATGCTACAATACATAGTGTTTATGTTTAATTTTTTCAACCAAAACTGATCTGCATGGAGGAAGATGGCTCTGATCACTACAGGTATGCTTAATATTTTCAAGTGGATTCCGATGAGTAGCAGGTGCATTATTTTGCCTAAACACAGCAAATCTTGCATCATTCACAGTTTTAAACTTTCCTTTCTCATAGAGAGTGCACACAGATGATTCTAATGACATGATCACATCTAGAGATACTTCTGGATAATCCCCAATCTTGGAAAAGGCTTTCTGAAAACACCTTAGACTTTTCCATACGAGCGGTACGCCAGCATCCTGTAAAAGCATGTATTGCTGGTAAAGGAGAGCAGATGGTCTCTCCTAAATTAGCAGCAAGGGCAGTAACATTTATATATCTACGAGAGTTGTTGCTGCTAAATCCAAGGTCCATCCTAACTTTGGTAGTACCAGTACCCTTTGCAACATGGTAAAGAAGGATCATTAATATATGTGTCATTTGCTCTAACACTAACCTGGGCATCTGTCATGGTTTCCTTAATATGGTTCACATGCAAATTAATCGTGAGTCAGCTTCCTCATGCTGACGCCCAAGTTCAGGTACAATCTGCCGAAACACTGATCCTCTTTTTACTTCAAATTTATAACACACTTCTTCTAGTGCCAGATAGATTTCATGACCGTCTATCATTTCTTTGTAGGTGTCCTGTTCCCAGCCAGCTGCAAGGAGTTTGTACAGTGATATCTTGAATAGTCCGAATGACAGTGCTTGGTTGACGTTTTTTAGTCGTTTCTGTTCAGGGTCAGCAGTAACAATGTTGACCTCAATTGCGCCAAGCATGTGTCGTTCATTGTCTTTGATTGATGGACTTGTACAAGTATCACACACAAAGTCCACGCATCTAGCATGAGCACACAACTTTGACAGCAGGACTCCTGCCACCCCACCATTGGCAGCAGGGAGATCTACCAAAGATCTGATGAGAAACATTGCATCTGTAACACAAACATCGACTGTGAAAGGAAGCTGGCTGTTTACTTTCGTTTCAAGTTTCTTTTGGACTGCAGTCTTTCCTGTTTTATTGATTAACCCCTTAAGATATGCCAGAGATGCAGGTACAGGGGTGATAGGGCAACTCAACACTTTAGAAAGATCAGTACCAATTGCTGTGGCAGGTATAAAAACCTTCCCAATAGGTCTTTTGTTGCTTGTATCTCTTGGAACTTCCATATCTTTCCCAGTTCACTTGACTTTTACTCCCTCCGTTGCAAAGTTCTTCACTCTACACCGTGGTATTGGTTTTCAAATTTAATATCATCATTAAAGCATCCAGTTCAAATGCAATACACATTTTCATTACTAACAGCTTCTATAAAGGGATTGAGCCTTGATTCAATGCCTGTGATCAGTTTTTGCAGGTCATCATTGTCTCTTAATTATGTAAAATTTGAGCTCGTGGGATAATTCCTCATGCTGTTTCATTCCTAACATGGACAGTAGAATGCCAACAATTACTCTTTGCATTGCTCGAGTTATCATCCATCTTTGGCGAGCTCCAATTGACTGGCTAAAAGCAGAAATCCCTGTCAGACAGGAAGCAGCATCTGCATTGATTGTTTGTTCCAGTGTTTGATCTACTGGTGTCCTTGCAATTTTTAACGCGCACGAACACACACACACTCACACACTACTACTACTACTTTACTGTCACTCGGAATCGAGTATGACGATCATCCAGCTATGATACAATGATACGAGTTATTAAGGATGTCACCTAGGTTGGTGAGTTCTGAGGTGACTAAAGAGGCCGATACGGGACCGGCAGGGTCGTTCACAGATGTTGCACATGTGAAGGGCTACATCTAGTGCGGGAGGGGCGGCGGCAGCGTGTCTCCGGCGCTGGCGCTTGTCTGCCTCGGTATGCAGTAGGGCTAACTCGAAAGTATTGACACCTTGTGTGGTACTCCTCCCAAGTGTTACGGTGTGGAGTAATCGTCTCCCAGGTGAGGGGATCAATTTGGCACTTTCTCAGGTTTGCTTAAGACCATCCTTATACCTTTTCAATTGGCCGCCAGCGTTACGTTTAGTATTCTTTAGGTGACTATAAAGTAGCTTTGGCAGTCTACTGCCGTCCATGCGGGTAACATGGCCAGTCCAACGTAGTTCTTCATGGATAATGGTAGCATCGATGCTCCTACAGTTGGTGTCAGCAAGAAGGAGGATGGAATGTAGTTGATGAAAGTTTTCAAGTGCTTTTAGGTGCCTTCTGTATATGACCCATGTCTCGCTGCCATATAGCAGGGTGGGGGGGACCACAGCTCGATATACCTGCAACTTTGTAGATAATTTCAGCTCCCTAAAGCTGAAGACACGGGTGCGGAGTCTGCCAAAGGATTGAGATGCACATCTGATCCGATGTTGAATCTCTTCATCGATGACCGCAGTGGTGGACAGGTGGGAGCCGAAATACTGAAAGTGGGTAACACTAGACAGGGTAGTACTAGTATGCTGGATGGATGGTGGAGGTGTGGCTGAACCTGGGGCAGGCTGAAAGAGAATCCGAGTCTTACTCACATTTGTAACGACCACGGTCATACACGTCAGTTAGCGCCAAAATCAAATGATTCATATTACGCTCAATAGCCCACAAAACATGTAACTGCTTTCGTTTGAGTTCTCCATCTGAGGAGTCCGTTTTCTTATCACTTCAAGACACCTCAGTCCTCCGTTATCCCATTTTCTCTGATTTACTGAAACCAACTTCTCTATAAAATGAATTTGAATGTGAGAGAGAATACCCTTGTTTTGAGTCAACTTAGATATGTTTGATGACAGTTAAAGCATACCAGATCCTTTGTGAGTGATGTTGAACACTTTAACTGTCATTATTGTCAGTAACATTGGGTAGGTAAGTGAGTGTTGAGTCTGCCAGGACAAACGATACCCGCGGTTTTCGTTCCCTAAGAATGACCATGAGTTTCCAATTGCTACTGAAGTCAGATTATTTTGTTGCCCAAACATCAGAGAATATGATGGTTGTAGTTTAGAGTTTGTCAGTTGTCTATATAAGAAAGTCATTAATCTCCTGAACTATTCTGTCAACCTGTAATCTCCAAGATCTAACGTCTCCCCGTGAATAGCTGTTTATACGTGCACCATGGCAGCTTGGGCCTCCATATTCATACCAGAAAGGTCGATCTTACCAACAACATACCTTCTCTACCATTTTGGATCACCGTATACTTAATTATGAACTCCGGTGTTCCTTATCAGGGTATATTCCTATGTCTATTCATATAATCTAATCAGAGGTTGAGCTTGCCAGGAAAAGGTGGAATATACACGTTGATAACATCAATTCTGCGAGCTCAGGCCTGAGGCGAACAAGGAGCTATTCACGGGGAGACGTTA